CATATTCAGTACAAAACCCTGTGCAAGGAAGCATCTACTTAGATGAAAGATGGAAGTGGCACATAAGAAAAACTGATCATTTTGGGGGAAAACATGCATGGATTAGATCTGGTTTATCTCCCTGCCTTTATTCCCTTTTCAAGCACAAACGAGGCTCTTTTTTATTTTATTGGGGTACTTTTTGTGTTTCATTATGGGTATTTTCTCAAGGAAGCTAGACTTTTCTCATTACAATCAAAGCAGCTGATTAAAAATTTGGTCATTCTGTACTGTGGCTTGAAACTTTGGGGAATGTTGTCTGTTTCCCCCACCCCTGGAAGGATATTTGGCAATGTATAGAGACATTTTTTCATTGTCATGATGGCAGGGAGGGAGTGTTGCTGGTATCTTGGATGTTGCTAAGCATCCTACAATGTACAGGATGGGCCCCATGACAAAGAATTAGCCAGCTCAAAATGTCAACAGTGTGGGGCTTAACAAACATGGTTATATACCATAGGTATAGGGTTTTGAGTTACTCAGAAGGCAAGAGAATTTGGGGGGTCGTACTGGGCCCATCCCAGCCAGAAGCCTCTGTAAAGGCTCTCAATATCAAAGTCAAGTTCCTTTTGGCTTGAAAGAAGTGTGCTTCCACCATAAAAAACAAACAAACAAACAAAAAACGTTTCCCATTTTATTTTTGACAAGTCTGGTTCTAAGGCCCCAAGCCTGATTGAAAACAAGACAAAATTTAGGTTACTGAATCCTAGAATGTCACTTATGGGATTTCAGAACCTCAGGCTTTTAAAATATCAGAGTAGGAACTTCAGCCAAATCTCCTCATCTTACTCAAGGGGATGCAGCTGATGAGCACTGCAATGCTCCTTGTCTCCCGGGACCTCACGTCTTCCTTTGCGAGGCCTCAATGCCTCCTCTGTTTTGGCACCATATGAGATTTCTGCCTCGCTCACTTTGATTGTTGTTTTGTTGGTTGTGCTGTCGTTCTTGCCATTTTGCTGGTTGCGTGCTGATGCAGCAGCATGTTTGTTATGGAGAATGTTTCCTAGCCCCCAGATTTCCCCAACAAAGTGAGCAGCCAGCATCATTTAATCTAAGGAGTACCTGGGTGCCTGAGATGATGGGATTGGCTCATTCCAACACAGTGCCTGTCCCTTGTGGGAGAAGGGGTCATTCATATAGAACCTGCTAGGGAGCTGCCAGCCTCCATTTACCCCCACATACATTCTAACAAGCCCCCCAGATTTTAACGTTTCTGTATTTTCACCTAAAATTAAAAAAAGAGAGAGTTAGAAATGAAAATATCAATTGAATTAGGACAACCCTACTCACTTTGCCTCCTTGTGACCTTTCCCCCATCTCTCTGAAAAATTGCCGAGGGTATTTCCTGAGTTCAATTATTATTTTACGTTTCAAAAATGAAAAAATTTCCTTCTCAAATGAAGTAGCCACTTCTATATTTTGAAAGTGCAATGGTACTATCACCTTTCCAACTCTCCATAGTCATGTTTCTTCTTTCCTTATAAACACATCGAATTATATCCCACATCCACTGTAGCTCATGTGTGCCTTCTCACATGTGGGGAAAGAGGTGTAAAGTGGTGTTTCCTGACAGGCCACCACCAGTTTACTTGAAGACTTAATATAGTGGATTCATAACCTTATCGAAATGACTAAAATGCAGACCTTTTAGACTATCTCCCTTTTGTAAAGACAATATCTGGGAGAGGAAAATCAAGCATTGCACACTGTTCATCAAGAAGAAGGGAGCTGGGGAAGGGGAGGGGGGAGAATGATGTGCTGGGCCCTATTAATTTGCTCTTTAATCTCACTGGTTCAGTTCTGTCTCCTGTAAGCCAAAGAGAGAATCAATTTGCATATAAATGTTACCAAGTAGCCTACCACCACAGCATTCTATAGTTCTGCTAGGTATCTAGGGAAGAGAGGATCTGGTTGTATTAACAGGATACTTTCTGCCTGTTCCCCCACAAAGTAACCACATTTCGAAACATTTCACAAGGCCCTGGATTGTTGTACTTGTTTTTCATTCTATTTGACTCCCTGTCTATTTGCATTCTGAGCTGTAGTCAGGATTGTGGCCTATTAAAGAATTATTTGTACTGGAGATTAGAAGCTTTAGCATTGGGTAATTTCAGAAAAGAGAAGGGGTCTTTTCATTACCTCAAGAGAAAGATGTGAAGAGAGGCTCCGATACAGAAACTTAAAATTTGGAGGTGAGGTGTCATTCATGTACCAGTGGATGAGTCAAACCAACCATCCATATGCAGTGTAATAAAACAAGAATTATTTGTTGTTTTATGATGGGAGAGGATAATGCTTGGTGGTCACTTGTTTTTAAAAACAAGCTGAATTGGGTTTCTCAGTGACTATTAATCCAATGCCACAGTAAAACATGAGCGGCAGGCATCTAAAATGAGGAAGATTAATGATCACTGCAGGTCATGGAAGAAGAAGAATTTTTTTCAATTCATATAAATGAAATTTGTCATAACCATCGTGAAGATGGCATGATTCACCCACTTACAAAAGAACTATCTATTTCAATGTTTCTTGAAGAGGTGATTTTTCACTTTTCACTTGTACTAACATAAGAATGTCAAGCCTGTAGGCAGAAAATTTTAACCTGGGAGACAATGGATGGGGAACTCAGCTGTTGAGTCAGGTATAGGCATGAATTAAGAAACAAAACAAACGAGAATTGTCCATCAGTTCAGGATCTGCAGCTAAAAAAGTAGAGTTTGGAAAGGTGGGAGGGGGAAAGGAGAGAGTCAAAGTTTCAGAAGGGCAATGTTTCCCAGCATCTGTTCCTAAACAGATCCACTTTGCACTCAAGTTCAGGGCTTTACAAACTGAGGTCATAGCACTATTGTTTCCAAGCACTAAGCCTTAGTAACACTCTCCCTCCCCGCGGAAAAAGAAAACAACAAAAAAGGAGAGAGACTGAAATGCTCTTGGTCCAGCGAGTTCGAGTGCAACCTTCCCCGTCACCGCTAGTTGTCACTTGGCTCCCAGACGGGAGAGCTGAGGTTTTCGGCACTGCGGTTAGAGAGAATGCAGTCCTAATTAAACTGAGTAACTCCTAAAGCTTCCCCTTAAAGTCCTCAGCCCAGTGAGAGCCAGTACGCAGCGGGGGTCGGGGACCAGTGGCGAGGGGTGTAGCAAGGGGAAGGACAAACAAACCGCAAGAAACAGGCCGACGGATGCCAGAACAGCGACTGTCTCAGACCTACACGCACAAGCCAGACACCCTGCGGGCGGGGGGATGGGGGTGGGGAAAGGGGGGCCAGAGGATAGAAGGACCCGATTGCGATTGCAGCGGTATACAACACCTCTCCCCCCCAATGGTGGGCCCACGGACAGAGTCAGCCTCTGTACTCTTTCCGCCCCATTTCCATCAGAGCGATGTGGTCAGTAGAAAATTGCATACCTGAATAATACAATGGTCTCCCAAAGGTAGAGTCGAAGAGTATTGAAGCTGTACATTTTTCAGGTCCTTGTGCTTTGTAGTCCACGAGTTATGGGGGCAAAAATGTTTCAGATTGGCACTTACAAAACCGGAGAGTGCTATTGAAAAAATAATCCAGATGTTAAGGGAAGGCGGGGATCGGGGCGCAGGAGAGCGCCCCAGGGGAAATTGGAGCGAGGGGGCTGTAGATACCACGGACAGCGGTGGCTGCGAGGCGTTTCAGCACCACGGAGAGCGTCCAGCCCTGCTTTTCAGGAGCGCGAAGAGTATTGCTGTTTGTTAAACTCCAACGTGTCTGGTGGCTCCCTGCGGCGCTGGGGAGGCACGTTTGGGGGTGGGTATATTTCTTTCTTTTTTTTTTTTTTACCCTTGTTTTTCTGTTTAAACGGCCAGCTGCATGCAAGGAAAAAAAATCTTCTGTTGAGATCAGAGCTCTGGCCTCGGACCGTTAGATTGGGCGAGCATCTTGGGTCGAGAGAACAGGGCTTGACGGCTCTGGGCCGGCCTGAGGGGGTTCCGGGCGAGGGGAAAGCGGCTGACGGCGCTGCCTTCAGTTAAATCTCAGAGAATGTGCCAGGCTGGCGCATCGCGATCGAGTCCCGGAATCTCATTCTCCTGCCTCCGCGCTGGTCTGCTGTCGCCTTGTGATTCCTGTTCCCTGGTCCCCGCCGAATAAGTTATGATCGCTGCAGGAAAGGTGTCCCATTGCTCGGGGCTGCAGGCGTAAGACAGCCCAGGGCAAGTTTCAGGGGCTGCCGGGGTCCATGGCTACCCCGCCGGGCTCAGGAGCCCAAAGCTTCAGATGCGTCTCCGTTTTGTGAGCTCGCCCATCTTCCTTTAGTCAGGACTCCTTCAGATCTTCAGACTTTCTTACTGCATTAATTTAACAAACTGGTGGCATGGGGGTTGGGAGGGCGATAGCTGATGGGAGGGGGGTTGAGAGGAGGAAAAAAGGGGGGAAAAACTCCTTAGTATCTTCAAACCCTCCCACTCGAGGTGTTCATTGGCCCGCGGCTACGAAAACCAGATCTTCTCCCGGTATTTGGCCAATAGCATGTTGGACTCCGGGTTGAATTTAACCCTTAGAGTGCTGGATGAGAACCGGGTCCCCCTCAACCCGCCCTCAGCTTTGCTGCAGGCGGTGGAGGGAGGGAGGTTGGTTATGGAGTTAATCTCTCCAGGTCTTTCAAAATATTGCCTTGATTTTTATAGAATGTAGTTGTATGCGAGTAAAACGCCATGGGTGCTGGTTCAGACGTGCCTTGGGCTCCATTTATCATTTTAAAAGGGAAGAGTTAAACCAGATCCCTGATTTTTTTTTTTTTTTTTTTTTAGCTCTGCTGTTAAAATATTTGGCTCGGAAAGGAAAGGAGAAGTTCTTAAAAAGAAGTCTGGTGGACAAAGTAAGACCCCTCCAGGGTGACTGCAGCAGGGAAATACAGGAGAAATTCCTTGAGCATTTTCCAGGGTTAAGAGGGAGCTGTCCTGGCCGGCGCTTTTTTTTTTTTTTTTTTAGTCAGAGAAGAAAGATATGCTGTCTTCCCCACTGGACAAGAGACAGTTTTATTCACCTTTATAAGCTGGGGAAACTGAGCCTTATAGATCCTATGGCTTGCTCCAAATTAATGGCAGAGCTAAGTTGTACACACAGGTATCCAGTACTTATTACTTACATTCCCTGTTTTTTTCTACATGTTTTCCCACCTTATTTGAGTCTTAGAAACCAGCTATGTATTTCACTCTAGAGCCCATCTGGGTAAGTAAAGTTAATCAGATTTCCTCCAAGCTACAGGACTTTAGTGCATAAATTGACTCTGAAGGATTTTCTGGCTGATTTAAACTCACTGGGACTCTCCCTCCCTTACTGAGCAAGGGCAACCCCTCTTCCAACCCAGCAACTTTAGGATGCCTTTGGAGTGTTTGGAGCTGGTTCTCCCTAGAATAGTTCTCAACAGCTCAGTTCTGTCTCCAAGTTCAGGTCTTCTCTCAAGCAAAGAAACCTGGGGAGCTTTGTTTACCAACCTCTTACCCCAGGGTTTCTCCTCCCCTCCCCCCACCCTGTAAGAGGACACCCCACACTATTCCTTCTTTTATTGGCACCCACATCCCAGAATTTCCATGAGGTTTTGAGAAGTCACTGAAAAGGCAATTTTGCTTTGAAAGTAAGTATTAATGTGAATCTAATAAAAATTTATATATAATATATATTATGTATGTATTTATATATGTATAATCAAGAGCTAACCTTTATTAGCATACTTTCCATGCCAGACACTATTGGGCGGTCACATACTGTCATTTACTTTGCACAGTCACACCTTGTGGTAAATGTTATCTTCAAGCATGTGTTTGTGTACATGTATGTGTGTACATTGGTAAGTACACTTGGGTAAAACCAGCATGTCTATTACTGTGGATATACATTTATTTGTGATTTGTATCCTACCTAATTCTGAAGTTAACTTCAAGTGCATATGTGTATCGATACATTTGAGTTTGTGAATGGGTCTCTTTCCACACAGGCATATATATGTATATATCTATGTGTGTCGTTAGGGTGTCTCAAGAGGTACTGAAACAAGCTGTGAGCTAGCAATTTTGTCCTTGTCCCTCATCTGGCCAGGAAGCAACTGCACAGCTAGGTTGGATGCAATGTGTAGAAGTTTCTTTTTCCTCTCTTTCAAGGGATGGTGATGATGATGATGTGTGTGTGTGTGTGTGTGTGTGGCTGTTCGTGTGAATGGCTCCAAGGCTGTGGCCTGTACAGAAGACAAGAGTAATTATTACCTGGGGGCACCTGTTTCTAACAGGCTTATTAGAAAAAGCCATGGAACCGGCAATTACTTCAGATGTTCAGTGGGAAAATCCCTCACGGTTGTTAATCTACATTATTTCTATACTTTTAACATCACACCTCACATAGTTATGCCTAATACAGTTCTTTCTGTTCTTGTGTAGGTCACTATTGAAAACAAACAACTATGGGCTTGGCAGTCAGGGATTTATGTCCTTATTTTATCTCTGCCTCAAAAAGGCTGGATGTATTGGATAAATGACTAAACCTCTCTGTGCCTAAGTCAAATGATGATAGTAATGCCACTCTTCCCACTACAAGAAACTGCTAGGATAAATGGTATTAGGTCTGATATGATTCTAACTCACCATGCTATGAAACAAAAATCTTCATAGAATGGAATGGATTGGCTTCAGCTAATGATCCATTTCTTTGGTAAGTATTCTGCATAGCCTGTCTCTAAGTAATTTCAGTACTTGACTGGTCTCTTATAGGTCCCAGTAGCCAGGTTGGAACCCTACTAAGTATGAATAAACTTTGGCACATAGTGAGACTAATTTTATTATTAGAAAAGATTCATTCTATTAATTCAAGAAACATTAGTTGTGCACTTGTATGTCAGGTGCTATTCTAGGTGCTTGGGGATATAACAAGGAACAAAATAGGCCAAGATCCCTACTCTAATAGAATGTATCTTCTAGGAGAGGGAGACAGAAGATAAACAAGGAAATATACAATGGGTTAGACAGGTATAAAACTAAAAAGGCAAAGGGCTGTGAATGACATGGAGGTGCTATTTTATGTAAGGTGGTTGATCAGGAAATGCCTCCTGGAAAGAAGACACATGAGCAAATAATGGAAGAAAATGAGGGAATGAGTTATGTGAACCTTAGAAAGAGAAGGAGAGGCCTCCAGGTGGTGGGAAGAGCAAATGCAAAAGCCCTGAGAGGGAAGTGTGCTCGGAGTGTGCAAGAAACAGCATGGAGGCCAACGTGCTGGACAGGGTGAGTGCAGGGGATAGAGGTGGGAGATGAGGTGAGAGAGGTAGTTGGGGACTAGACCAGGAACCGCCTCCAAGACATAGTGAGGACTTTGGGTTTTATTTTGAGCGAGACAAGAAGCCATTGGAGGGTTTTAAGCGGAGAAGTAACAAGATGTGACTTAACATTTTAGCAAGTTTAGTTTGGCTACCGTGTTTAGAAAATAATGTCTAAATATTATTTAGGGGACAAAGGGGGCAAAACAAAAGCAGGACTAGTTAGGAAGTACTGAAAAAAAATCCATGTGAGAAATTCTTAGAGATGATCTTATTCAACACTTTTATTTATAGAAGAGGAAAATTATATACAGAAGAGTCAATTGACTTACCCCTTAGACTAGCAGGACAGCTGGGATAAGAACACAGGAGCTCTAATCACAGATAAAGGATCTTCCACTGTTTTTTGCTCCAACTAAGATAAAGGGCATGCAGAAAGAAGGTCAAGGAAATCTACAAGCAAAGGGACTTTACTTGTCTTATTACTAATAAATATATAAGATATATAATGTGATGTCTAGCACATAAGAGGTGCTCAGTAGATATTTCTTGCAAGGATGATGAAGGAGGGAATAAATGAAAGAAGAACAAAACAATTCGGGCAGAGGGCCTGAAGAGAGGTAGAGAGGAAGGAATAGTGTTAATCAGGTGAGATTACGTTGTCCTGAGCCAGCTAATGTAATTATCATAATGCCAAGCCTCTGTCCATAATGACATTCACAGAGGAGAGTGCTGTATGTTTCAACACTGCTTTGACAGGCTTCAATGATACTTTATAAAGAGAGATGGATATTTGGAGCAACTGAGCGCTTGCCTAATTGTGCTGAAGTATTATGATGAATATGGGTCTGAAAATGGGACCGTGGAAGAGCCTTTCCTCTAAGGAAATGGAGGCTTGCCGCCAGCCTTTCCTAGTCCAACTCAGTGAATGCTTTTGTTACTTTTTTTTTTTTATTATTATTATTGCAAAGCCAGAGTCTGTGCTTTAAAGAAGGGACCTCAGAACTACCTGGGAAATAACTGCTTGGGGAATCTCAGTGGCACTGGAGGAATTTTTAGTTGCAGTGAGTAGATGCATAAAATACCAAGCAACCTTCTGTCCCATTTTACTGATTAATTGGGGCCCAGGAAAGTGGAATGACTAGCTTAAGGTATCACTACAAAACTGCCTCTAGATCTCGGGTCATGGCTTCCTACTGTTCTTCTCTGAGACCTAAGATAAAAGGAGAGAAGGTAGGATCCATGAGGAAGAAATGCTTCATATCAAAGCCGATCTGCCCAGAGACGTCCCAATTTTCTTTTGTAGTGCTCTAGCAGCTTGGCATGCATCCGAGACTTTTCTTGATCTTTCCTTCAAACCATCTATGTCTCTCTCTTTTTTAAAAAAAAAAAACAAAAAACCTTTCTTCTCATTCTGCCCATAACTATTATTTCATGTTTATTCAGTCAGTTCCTCTTACCAGGTCTCTCAGCTCCTACTGCCTCCACAAGGGTTTTTGGGATTAAGAAGGCTTGGCAGAGGGATACACTTTTTTCTGAGTTTGTTCACTCGCTTACAGGTTCATTAATTTATTTTGAAAAGTACATATAGACTGAACACTGGCTGTGTGTCTGACACCATGTTAAGGCTTTACATGTCTAATAAAAGATTTGTTCATTCTGTTTTTAACGAATATTTATTAATTACTTTCTATGTGCTAGGAACTATGGAAAATGGTAGCACAAATGAAGCATAATCAATGTTTCTTGAAGGGAGGAGGTGATGAAAAGAGATTCTTGTACTGCATTTTAATAATTATATTAAAATTAGGCAGGATACAAATCACAAATAAATGTATATACACAGTAATATATTTAAAAAGCATTTAAAATCAAAATACATATAAATACATACATTTTGATAGATTATTTACAAAATGAACACTATTCATATTATTTTATAGAATATTACCAACACCCTAGAAGCCTGCCTCTTATCTCCTCCCAGTCATTATCAGCCAAAGATATCTACTATTCTGATTTCTATTACTTTTATTTTGCTTGCTTTTGACCAAATGAAATTATCTTTGTTCTTTTTTTTTTTTTTTTGAGACAGAGTCTCACTTTGTTGCCCAGGCTAGAGTGCCCTGGCGTCAGCCTAGCTCACAGCAACCTCAAACACCTGGGCTCAAGCAATCCTGCTGCCTCAGCCTCTTGAGTAGCTGAGACTAAGGCATGCGCCACCATGCCCGCTAATTTTTTCTCTATAAGTTGGCCAATTAATTTCTGTCTATTTATAGTAGAGACGGGGTCTCACTGTTGCTCAGGCTGGTTTCGAACCCCTGACCTCCATCGAGCAATCCGCCCGTCTCGGCCTCCCAGAGTGCTAGGATTACAGGTGTGAGCCACCGCACCCGGCCTATCTTTGTTCTTAAGAGGGATTGATCTATAACTGTCCTTTTCTTGAAATGTCTTTTTCAGGTTTTTGTATAAAGATCATGGTGGCATCATCAAGTTGTAGATGTTTTCTCTTTTCTATTCTGTGTAAACATCCTTGCAAGATCAGTCTTATTTCTTCTTTAAATGTTTGGGAATCAGTGTTGGGAGGTGGGGCCTAATAAAAGGCAGAGCCCTCATGAGTGGATTAATATCTTTATGGTGAGAGTGGGTGAGTTATTACAAGAGTGGGTTGTTATAAAATCACACTCAGCCCCCTCTTGCTCTTGCCCTCTCTTGCCTTTCTGCTTTCTGCTGTGGGATGACACAGCAATAAGGCCCTCACCAGATCCAGGCCTTTCTACCTTGGAATTACCAGCACGCAGAACTGTAAGCAATAAACGTCTTTTTTACTAATTAACAACGAATGTTTGGGATCGTTTACTGGTGAAGCCATCTAGGCCTGGTGGTTTCTTAGTGGAATGTTTTTATTTATAGGTTCAATTTATTTAATAGTTACAGGACTATTCAGATTGTATTTCTTCTTGTATTTATCTTAATAAGTTGTCTTTTTCAAGACATTTTGTCCATTGTATGTAAATTTTTACATTTGTTTGCATATAATTTTTATAATCCTCTTGTTTGTCTATAAAATCTGCAGTGATGTATTCTTTTTTATTTGTCATATTGGTGATATGTGCTTTCTTTTTTTTTCTTGACTATTTTTTCTATTGGTCACTTCAAGTAACTGACTTACATTTTTTTCTATATAATAAATTTGTTTTATATTCATATTTTTTTCTTTTTCATTTTTTTCTTTTTTCATTATATATTTTTCTTTTTGCTCTCAACTTATGAAATCTTTTGGATTTAATTTGCATGTCTTTTTTCTGGCTTCTTGAGATGGATCCTTAGATAATTGATTTTCAACCTTTCTTAAATATATATATACATTTATATGGTAGCCATATATATGTATGTGCGTATATATATATATATATATATATATATATAAAACAAACTTTGTATTTTTCCCCAATATTTGCTTTAACTACATTCCACAAGTTGTGATAAATTATATTTTTGATATTATTCAGTTCAAAATATTTTCTGGTATTCACTCTGCTTTGTTTTTTAATCCTTAGTGATATTTAGAAGTTTACTATTTAATAATGCCATTCCATTGTTTTCTGACTTCCATCATATCTTTGAAAAGTCAGCAGTAAGTCTTATTTTTGCTCCTTTTAAGGTAATTATTCTCTCCCCCGCAACCCCCGACCCTCTGTGGTGGTTTTTAAGATTTTTTGGTCCTATGTTTTTATCACTTTTATATGATGCAAATAGGTTTGGTTTTCTTTATGAATATCCAGCCAGGGCTCATAGAGCTTTTTTGAATTTGTGTCTTGATGCATTTCATCAATAGCTAGCATTTCTTTCTTGCTTTTTCTTCATTCTATCCTTTCCATCTGGGCCCCTGATTACGCATATGGTAGACTTTTTCATTATGTCTCATATGTTGCTAATGAATGCCCTTTTCTGCATTTTCTATTCTCTTTTTTCCTCTCTGCACTAATCTGTATCTTCTCTACTCTTTTCACTAATCTTCTCATCTGTGTTTAATCTGATTTTATACTTAACCTATTGTATTAATTTCAATTGTCTTAATTTTAAGCTCTAGCATTGTCACTACTTTTTTTCTGTTTCTTTTCTTTTCTTTTTTGAGACAGAGTCTCACTTTGTTGCCCAGGCTAGAGTGAGTGCTGTGGCATCCGCCTAGCTCAGAGCAACCTCAAACTCCTGGGCTCAAGTGATCCTTCTGCCTCAGCCTCCTGAGTAGCTGGGACTACAGGCATGCACCACCATGCCTGGCTAATTTTTTCTATTTATATTAGTTGGCCAATTAATTTCTTTTTATTTATAATAGAGATGGGGTCTTGCTCTTGCTCAGGCTGGTTTCAAACTCCTGACCTTGAGCAATCGTCCTGACTCAGCCTCCCAGAGTGCTAGGATTACAGGCGTGAGCCACCACGCCCGGCCTGTTTCTTTTCTTTTAAAATAGGTTCCCATTCTCTGGTGCTATTCTTCCTTTTTTTACCTATTTTCTGGGTCTAATGTTGGTGTGAAATTGGTATGTTTATATTACCTGATTTTTCCCTTAAATTTTGGTTATCTACATCTGTTTACTGGCATGCTTGGTATTTTTGGAGTGAATACTTTAAATTGTATATAAAAATTGTAGCAGCACTGGGTCATGTTATCTTCTGGAAAGGATTAAATTTCCTTCTGGTTGGTAGATATAGTATGGACAGGTCACCTTTATCCAATCATGGATTGAGATGATTTGGAGCTGTGTTTTAGGCTTTGTGAAGATGTCTCTTTCTAATTTATCTTTTTCTTTGAGTATATCCCATCAGGGTCTCAACTGAAAGTCAGTTCTCTGGCTTTCATTTTTGGTGGGCCCTGAACTCCAATTTTTGCTTCTTCAACTCTGTGACACTGCTAACATCATTGCTAAGCTTTTCAACACTTTGCAGTTGCTTTTTCAAAAAATTATTTTGTAATGAAGCTTTCCTTGGACATCCTCCCTGAAGTATCCACCATTCACTGTCACTCATTTTCTTTTATCTTTAGATTTATAGAAAAGTTCCCATATACCTTTCACCCAGTTTTTCCTAATGTTAACATCTTACATAATATGGCACATTCATCAAAACTAAAAAAATCAATATTGGTACATAACTATTCACTATATTTTAGATGGAATTTCTCCAGTTTTTTCTTTATTGTTTTCTACTATCCCAGGGTCCAATCCAAGGTACCACATTACATTTAATCATTATGTGTTTCTAGTTTCCCATTAACTGTGACAGATTCTCAGTCTTTCCTTGTTTTTTATGACCTTAACAGTTTTGAAGAGTGCTGATCAGGTATCTCATAGAATATCTCTAAATTTGCATTTATCTGATGATTTTCTCATGACTAGATGCTGGTTATGTGTTTTTGGAAGAATATTACAGAGGTAAAGTGCTATCATATTAACACGTGATATTGGGGGTACATGATATTAACATATCACTTTTGATATTAACCTTGATCATCTGGTTTGGTTAGTGCCTCTGCCAGATTTCTCTACTATAAATTTTTTTTTATATTTCCCTACTCTGTTCTTTGCAAGTGAGTCATTAAGTCTAGCTCACACTCATGAAGAGGGAAATTAGTTACAGCTCCTGGAGTAAGTTATCAGCTACATTTGCTTGACTTCTCACTCAGCCTCTGATCACTTATATGTGCAGCTGAGAATATGGCAAAGGCATTGATAAGAAATTACATGCAGATTGTTAGGCTCATTTCTGTGTGGTTCCTTATTCTCTGGGATCTTGGCTCCTTAATTTCCAGCTGCATTTGACTAATTTTTTTGTCATTCTTCCTCAGTGAAACTGCTGTAAGCTATAGGCCACTGCTTTCTGTTTTGCCTTTTTGCTTTGCAGTGACATCTGAAAGTGTCCTGCGTGGAGAAAGAACCAATTTATGATCCACTTCAATGTATAATGTTTTCCTCTTTTCTGGTTCTTCAAGTCATAGTTGTTCCCCGTTGCCTCCAAACATCTGATTTTATTATTTATTTATTTATTTTGAGACAGCGTCTTGCTCCGTCTCCCTGGGTAGAGTGTAGTGGCATCAGTATAGTTCGCTGCAACCTCAAATTCCTGAGCTCAAGTGATCCTCCTACCTCAGCCTCCTGAGTAACTGGGATTACAGGCTTGGGCTGCAATACCTGTCTAATTTTTCTATTTTTAGTAGAGATGGGGTCTTGATCTTACTCAGGTTTGTCTTGAACACCTGAGCTCAAGCAGTCCTCTAACCTTGGCCTCCCAGAAGGCTAGGATTATAGGTGTGAGCCACCACTCTCGACTCTGATTTTATTTTTGATCTAGTTGTTATAGTTGTTCTCAGTAAGTGGGTTTGTCAGTTACAAACTACTCCTTCATAGCTAGGAGGCAATGGGGAGCCACTGAAGGCTTCTCACCATTACTCTGCGATCTGTTAGCCTTGCCTTACACTGACTCCCCCTAGCTAGCTCACTTTTGGTCTTTTTGTCTATCTCATCTTATGCTTTCATCAGGGATCAGCTATTACATTTCTGCTTATTTTCTTCTACCAAGCACTTTTTTTTCTTTTATAGCTCACTTTTAGTTTTACATTCAACCTATAGTTCATTCTTCACACAGCAGCCAGAGTAATCTTTAAATATTAAATTTTAATATTTGCATTGAATTCCTGTTGCATTTAGAATGAAATACAATTACTGATGTGGACTTGTATGATCAGCCCTGACCCCTCTCTCTGACTGCACCAACTGCCATTCTCCCCTTCTCTCATCAAGCTGCAGACTTGCTTACTCTTGTCCCCAAGCTACAGACTTTTGTTCACTCTCGTTTTGAATCCAGATATTCCCTTGGATGGTTCTCCTTGTCATTCAGATCTCAGTTAAAATGTTACATCCTCAACGAAATCAGTATGCAGAAAGTTATCTACGCTACCATGTTTATTGCAGCATTATTCACAATAGGCAAGATATTGAATCACACAGAGTTTTTAATTTCCTAGAAGATTTAAATGAATTCCAAGCTTTGATCTATTCAAGATAGGGACTGTTAATGGGTACTTTAGAATATATTTTTGCTTTCTACATATATTAGGAAGATGTGTATTATAACTCAGAGTCCTTTTTCCAACATTTTCAAAATTGTGTGCTGCATGACAGTGGTATGAGGGTGTAACCATTCCTGAGTTTCAGTTTAAAATGAGTCTCATTCTCTGCAGTTGACTCATCTGTGTTCATTCAGTATGCGTGAGTCTGGTTAGGTAAATACACATTTATTGACCGTTACAAAAAAATTAAAAAAAAGAAGGCACCTCAATAGTGCCTTCCCTGACTATCCTCCCTGAAGTACTTTACCCCCATTACTGTCATTCATTCTGTTTAATTTTTCATCATAATAATTATTCGTATCTACATTTTTTGTCCATTTATGTATTTATTTTTATTTTAGAATATAAGCAGCACAATGATAGGGACTTTATTCTTCCCCAATGTATTGCTGGTATCTGTAGCAGTTCTTAGTACATAGTAAGCATTAAATAAATGAATGAAATCCTACAAGATTTATTTACTATGTGATTTGCACTGGATTTCATGCTTCTGATATACTCTCTCATTAAATTATCACAGTAATTCTATGCAGTAGAGTCTATTATTATCCCCAGTTTACAGAGGAATAATGTGTATGGTGCAGAGAGAGATCAAGTGTCTTGTTCAGTTATAGCAGGTAACTGGAGGTATTGGGATTTAACTACAAGCTTTCACTTTTAACCCCTAATGTCATTTTTTTAATACTTCTGATCTGCATTGTATATTTTAGGATATTTTTTATAATCAATTATTTAGTTTTTTTTTTTTTTTCCAGAGACAGGGTCTTACTCTATAACCCAAGCTGGAGTGCAGTGGCATGATCATAGCTCACTGCAGCCTCAAACTCCTGGGCTCAAGTTATCCTCCTGTCCCAGCCTCTTGAGTAGCTGGAACTATAGGTGTGTGCCACCATGCCAAGCTAAGTTTTTGAAAAAATTTTTTGTAGAAACGGCATCTTGCTGTGTTGTCTAGGCTGGTCTCAAACTCTTAGCCTCAAGTGATCATCCTGCCTTGACTTCCCAAAGTGCTGGGATTACAAGCATGAGCCACTGTTCCCAGCCCACCTAGGTTTTCTATTACTTTTACATGGGGCAAATCCTCTCAATTAAAGAATAATTTCCTTGATGACAAAAATAGGACCTTATTGTGGATTTCCTTTTTGAGTTTCCACCCTAAAAGTTTTGAAAGTTTAGATCTGTTTCCCCATACCCCCACCAGCCTCCATTTTTGGCGGATAACAGCAACTGGATTTTCCTTGGAGAACATTCCTTCCTTACCCCCTGTCAGTCCACGTGGTTTTGGTGGGGTTAGCCCAAGATCCAGGTACGGTAAGACCTGACACAGGACTGATCAATCAATACAATCAATCAATCAATATACTTCATCCCCTGAACAGAGACTTGCTCAGGAGTAAACATATCACCTGAATTTGTCCAAGCACAGTTAATTCTAAGTCTTTTACTGGAAAGAGGCTCACTTTATTATCATTTTTCTTTCAGACACAACACTTGAAGCATGTGAATAGGAGAGCTGACCACCCACATACCCACCCCCTCACCAGCAACAAAAACAAGAAGAATAAAGCCAATACTGAGGAAATCAGAATTGAAAATTGGGGAGAGAGGCAGCTTCCTGATGATATTGTTGGAGCACCTGCATCCAGCCAGCCTCAAACCATGATCTCCTCTGGCCTTTTTGGTTTAATCGACCAATTAATTTATTCTGTGGTTAAGCCAGTTTTAGTTAGATTTCTCTCCCTTACACCAAAAAGGGCTGTGATCATACGATGCTTCCTGAATGCCTGTTGACGGCTGATTGACTATGTGGACATGCAACTTGTACCTAACCAAGAGCATATCTGTGCAGCCTGATTAGAGGCAAACGGGTGTTTTGTATGACCTTGATGAAAATCTCACCATGCACCTCCCTCAGCTCTCTGCTGTGGGCCCGTGACTCTGCACGAGGGCGGCTCTTGTTTCTCAGGTGGTGGTGACAATGAACCAGCTGGAGTAGTTGCCGGTGCTTGGATATCAATTAGTGAAGCTCTAACTGCAGGATAATCTCTCAGACATCTCCTAAGTGTCTTAATCTCTCAGTGGGGCCTTCTCCTCTAAAGGCTTAGGTGGCTGGTAATATGTTTGAGCTGTTGATCCTTTCTTTGATCACGTCTTATAGGATTATTCTGTAATGAGATGGTGCCGAGGAAATGGGGCTGTAATTTGGTTGTCTTGGCTTTGGCATTTGTTTTCCTCCTTCCTCTGCTTGTGCTGGGATGGCAGCCTCTCCACGGGGCTCTCTCCAAAGCACGTGTCTTCTGATTCCCCAGCTCTCACCAAACTCTGCAAGTGTCAGGGTAATCTGCAAATCTAGGAAAACAAGTTTTAGCAATTCCCTCCTGGCTGTCATCTGCCTTAAACTCTCTCACCTGATCTGTTTGGCAACTCAGGGATAGCCCGGGAAGGTGTCATAAGTTCCAGTTTCACAGTGAGGACAATGAGGCACAGAGAGAGTGCAGCAGTGTAGCAGGTCTGTTCCAAGGTCAGGGCTGTCATCATTACACCACCTCCTAACCCTCCGATGGGCCAGTTCCTGGTTCATTTGCAACAGCAAATGGCCAGACGTGCTTCTCATTCTTCAAGCCCTGGGCTCCAACAGCAACTCCTCTGTGTCCTCTTCACATATCAGCCTGCTGGAAAAGAACCCTCCTCTGAACTTGCACACCACCCTTGCAGGTACCCTTACGGTTTCATAATTTTCTACTTTGTACTATCATTTGTGTGGATTTTTATCTTCTAGAGTTTAGGCTCCATAGTCCCCTCATAGATGGCAGAGTGTTGATCTGCTGTAGGTGTTCAGATCTGCCTGGCACAGGCAAATCATTATGCTTATCGAGGGTATGAACAAGTACAAAAATCCCTTATTTTCTTTTACCTTTTTTTGGGGGAAGGTAAAGGTAGTATATTTCAAGGGACCAGACTTGCTGTTTCTAAAACACCTAGAGGGATGTTATGTGGAAGAAGTGTTGATGTTTTTCTGTGCCAACCCAAAGAGCCAAAATGAGACCAGTGGGAAGATATTTCAGGGAGACATAGATTAGCTCAATATAGGATTTTCTGTAACCAAAGCTGCTGAAAGCTGAAGGGGATGTTTTCTAAGATAGTTAAAGTCTGTGCCACTAAAGGTATGAAAGTAGGTATTGGGTGATAACTTGACAAGGAGAGTGCAGAGAAAATTCAAGTGTCTTAGGAAGGATTGAGCTTCCGGGCTCCTTTCCTACTCACGCAGTAGTGTTCAATAGAGCCTCGGTATATGGGCTTTTGACTACTCTTGGAAGCAAAACTCATACTCAAGAGGGGAATCCTGATTTGATACACACAGAGGCAGTCATGCACAGTGACTACGAATGTGGGCTCTGAAACTCAAATTCTGGCTTCCTTACTTGCTAATGTGTGGCTTTGGCAAAGTCGTTAACATCCATGAACTTCAGTTTCCTTATCTGCACAGTGATGGCAATCACAACACCTACCTCACTGGGATGTTGTGAAGTTATGCACAGAAAAACACTTAGCAGAGCGTCTGGCACAGAGGAAGTGCCCAAGTGTTATTATTAGTCCCCTCATTCCTCCTCTCCCAGCAGGATCCTCGCCCGAGTCCTCCCTCCTGAAGCACCGCAGGCTTCAGGCAGAAGAGGTCGGGCAGGTCCCCCAGAGCCCCTGGAATCTGTGCCTCTGAGCTCATAGTTGACGGCTGACTGTGAGACTGGAGGTCTGAGCCTTTGAGGCCTCCAGCCACTTTCCAAAGCCAACAGTGTAAGATAAAAATACAGTATCATTTCTCCAATCTCTTCTGGGATCCTGGTTGCCCGCACTCATTAAAGGCAGTTTTCTTTTGGATTTGAGAAGCTGTTTTAAAAGCAGAGTCTAACACTGGGTTCCCAAAAGGCTGATGCCAGTTTCTTCAGTTCCCCCCACATCCCTGACCTGAATTTCCAGTGGTTGGGTTATTAGTGCATCAACAAAATATGTGCTCTGGGAGTAGAAAATCCATTCTTGTCCTTCGGTCACTTAGAGAATGGCAGGGAAAAATCTTGAGTCCCCAGCCCACCCCTTGGTTGAGAGCAAAGCAGAGTAATTCTCTGTCTTACAAAGGTTGAAATTTAATAATGATGGAACAAAATTTCCGTAAAAACTCTTGTATAAATTCTTTTACATAAGCTCCTTGATAAGAAATTATTATACATGGTAGGTGCTTGATACATATGTTTTATCTACTCAGTATCACCTCCATTTTAATGAAGAATGAGGTAGTATTATCATTTCTGCTTTAAACATAAGGAAATACAGAGGGACACCAACTTGTAAGGGTTACAGTTGAGATTCCAATGCAGATCTGTCTGACCCTAAAGCTGAGACCATTTATGCATGCTGTCTTCCTGTTAGGAAAGCTAGAGGAGGGGATCTACTATTTATATAATAAATTTAACAAATTAACAATATATAGTTGTAGATAATCTCAGACATGGTAACTTATATACATAATGAGCTAATGTATCCATCTCTATAATTGGCATTCAGGCCAATCCTGAGGAGCCAATGCTCACATCCCTGATTTATAGATAGAAAAACAGACTCCAGGAGGATAAAGGAGTTTGCCCAAAGTAGCAAACTAGCCCAAGAAAGCAAAGCCAGGATAAAAACCCTGCTTCTTGAAGCATTGGGTGATGTACGTTTTACCACATTACAGTTGTAGCTGTACAACAAATAAATTTTAAAAATTATCCTTAAAATATGCCTTCTTTAACTTTTTTTAAAGTACATTCAGTAATCTTGGAGCCTTTCAATGATCCAACAACTTTGGAAGGGCAGCCTTTTGGTGCCGTGTTTTAGAAACGAGGAGGGGATGGGTATATTCACACCTAATGGGTCTGGTGCGCACCACCTGGGGGATGGACATGCTTGTAGCTCTGACTTGGGCAGGGCAAAGGCAATATATGCAACCTAAACATTTGTGCCTCCATAATATTCTGAAGTAAAAAATATATATATATTAAAAATAAATAAATAAAAAGGCAAAGGGTTGAACAACTTAAAAAAAAAAAAAGAAAAAGAAATGAGCCACCTGATGCTAGGAGGTTTGCCTGGTATTAAACAATGGGACAAGCCACCAAGACGAGGTAGAACCAGTGCTTCCCACTCATGTGAGGCTCAGCTTTGGTGCTGTCCATTTCTGTTTTTGTCCTGCCTTACCTTCCCAATTCCTGAGTCATTATGTTTTGTTTGGGTCTCCTCTTCCCAGGGACTCATTCAGTGAACACACTGTACTCCAGGCACCATGGTAGCTTTGGAGGGAAGAGTTTACCTGAAAACTGGCATCCTGCCTTGCCCTTCACCCCCCCCCCATACCTCCCCTCTTCCTGCAGGTACCTGTCCTGCCTCATAGCTCATAAACCAGTTGTGTCTTATAGATGTTTACAGTAATGCACAGTGTTACTCCTGGTGGGAAAAGGTACCTGACAAGTTCTTAGAGATAAGAAAAATCTTTGTATTGTGATTAAGAGATCTCTGGAGTCAGACAGTGTGTGTTCAAGTGTCTCTTTGGCTCCTTGTTAGCTGTGTGACTTTGGGCAAGTTAATTAACTCTTTGGCCTTCATCTCCCAATCTGTTAAAAGTGCCTAATTTATAGGGTTATTGTGCAGATCATAGGAGATAATGAATGTAAACTGTTTAGCAAAATGCATGTGTTCTTTAATTATTAATTGGGAAGATAAGATTTACATAAACACAATAATTAAAATACACAACAGCCCCTCTGCTTTAATGACTGCAGAATCCCCAGTGCCTATCTCAGCGCCTGGCATGCAGTTGAGGTTCCAGGTCTACAGCTGTGGGTGCTTTTCTTACCCCAGGCACGTGCTAAGACTTTAGCATGCATTGTGTTATTTCATCTGCCTCAGGGGCGGGTGGAGAGGTGGGCGGTGGAACTCTCTTGGGAGTAGGGCAGAAAGCTGAAGAGGAAAGTGAAGATCAAACTTCAGGAAGTGCTGAAGAGTCCTGTAAGGAAGTTGATGGTAGTATAGGCAAAGTAGAGTTAGAGATTAACACAGGCTTGGGTATCTTGGACCTCCCATGTTCAGAAAGCATTGGCTGTGACATGGCCATGATGAATTTGTAGGTTTTTTTTTTTTTAATGAAACAATCTTCCATGCCAGAGTAGGATGCTGCGGATTTCAGCTAGGTGTTGGGGCAGGGTCAGAAGTGGGCCGTGGGAGTTTGGGGGTCATGTCACATAGATACTGAGACTCAGGTGTCTTATCTCTGTCCCAGGAGATTGGGAGCACGGAACGAAGTGAGGTGAGCCCTCTGCAAGCCTCTAAGCCCTGTGTATATTGCAGGGTGACTATTACTAAGGGCGTGCATGGACAGGCCTTGTTTCTCAGATGGCTCTGCAACGGGCGAGTCCTGCTGCCTCTCTGGGGGATGCTTGCGGAGGCCGCACCGGGCATTCCTGCAGGTGCATGGCAGCCACCTTGCCTTCCGCTGTTATTCCACCGACCAATTGTGCGGTTATCGAGTTATCGAACGCTCTGGGAGCACCGCAGGTGGGAAGCAGCT